TTAAAACATAGATTTCGAAATCATAAACGGAAAGGAACACTCAGTTTTTTGGTTCAATACGAGAACCAAACGACTTGCTCTATTTTTATAAGTTCTAGAGACAAACCTGGACTGCATTTAGCATTGATATCATATTGACCTATCCATAGCGCAAAAGATAAATGAATGCATCACAAGAAAGCTACATAAATGACAGTCTTGATGTATGAGCTTACCTTGGCAGTGTTGAAGGCCACGTTCTTGCAGTCTGGAGGACTATTATCGAGACAAAAGGTATGAAGAATTAAGAAACTTCACAGTAGAATCGTTTTTTTCTTGGTTCAAAAGTAAGGCAGCGCATTGGTCGGCATTCTTTCCTAACACAAAAGCCTGTTAAATAAGACATAAATATCATTGTTCCAGCATCCTTCATGATATCAAAAAGGAGAAGATACTGATGAATTTTTCTTACAGTTTGTAGCTTTCCCAAATATATTGTCGTTCGCAGTCGAGAAAGCAGAGGCTTTTCACACAGCTTAACTGCAGCATGTAATTCCTTAAGGTGTCCCCATTTTGGTTGCCTAAGTAATCCTGCAGCATCAACCTTTTATGTTATACTGTTAGATCAAAAGTCTGATCTTGGAGGGTGAATGGTTTGAAATATCACCATATTCATCAAGTGGAGCTTGATCATAATAACTAGTGGTTACGAACGGCGAACCATTTCTTCCAAAGTTTGTTCCTCCATGATACTAGAATATGATATATAGTCAAATCATCAATCATTTCTGCATATCTTGTATACTAAAGAGAAAACAAGAGAGTGATACTGGAAAAAGTACCATGTAGTAGTTTACGAAACTTCCATTCTTGGCAATGAATAGAGCAACGTGAAATGTTATATCCTCAGCTGACCTCATCAATGTGTCTTCACCATATGTTTGATAACTATACAAAGGGAGCAGATGAAAGTTAGTTCGTAATCTGTGGACTGAGAAGTAAACAGCAATGTAGTCAATTTGAATGAAGTCCATACAAACTAGTCCAGTTCTCAGTCCATATTGCAGGTTTGTTCGGTGAATCGGGTCCTTTAAATGTTTCTCCACACTACCTCCCATTGCAAGCATTGATCTGATGCAACATAGAAACAATAAGATAACCGAAACAACGAATTCAGAAGCGGATAATGGTAGATGAGCAACACTGCAGAACAAACACATAAACCAACCAAAGGATCAGGGACATCATCCTGCTTGCACATGACCCATGGCAAGATCACCTAATTGTTACAACATCAAAAACCCAATCAAACAAAACTTCAAATTTTGTGAATTTATTGGAGAATTTCGAAAGATTGAAACTTTACCGCGAAAAGGATACCAAAAGCCCACAAGTATTGAACGAAGAACCCTAAACCATCCCATTGAGGACCTTCAAAAGGATCAGGTTCAAGCCAAGGAAGATCATAGATAAAAAACTTCGGTGCGTCTTTTGGATCACCTCTGAATCGAGTGTTCACCGCAAACCTATCTTCTCCGTCATCGATTTCGATCTGAGACGGCGGTTTCTCGCCGTTGTTTTCTTCTTCTGGTTGTTCCTTTGTCGTCGTCGGGACGAGGGTTCGACATTTTTTGGCGGCAGAGACGATGTGAAGACGGGAAGAGGATCGAAGAGGATGAACAAGGGGATTGAAGGGAGGCGACGGAGGGCGAGATGGAGGGAGAGAAGAAGCGTGGCAGAGAGGAAATCGACAAGGAAGGAGCGAGTATATTTACCGATACTATAGACCCCAAATATAGAACGGGTTTAAGCCCATTTTGATTTAATTAAATAGGTTTAATTCTTAAAACCCCACTATATTAACAAAACTCTAGAATGATGTGTCACTATTTCCAGCATACTGTATATAACATTGGAATAGTCAACGGATACCATAGTCAAAATATTGTTGAATTAAGTTACTGCCGTTGCCGCCGCTGCCGTCTTTCTCAATCTTAAACTTCACCATTGTGAGCTTATCATCACAATTCTACTTCTCATTGTCGCCGCCGTTTTAAACAACTGCCGCAGTTTTCTACTTCTACCATAAGATTCATCATCGTCAAAACAACATGTCTAATGATGGCATCACCACCACCGTTGTACCTACAACAATGATATCATCATAACTTCATCGCCGTACTTGCTTTCCTCCGCCATAACAAATTCTCCATTAGTTCAGCGTAACGCTACAACAATCACTGCTTCAGCCACTACTATAACCAGTGCTACAACCACTGCTACAAT